ATACCTAAGGCCCCACAAAGGCACATTTTAGAATTAATTGTGCCCTCATCTTGCAGCATCACGACAAGCAGAAGCCCAACAACCAACCAAAGTGCCAACTCCTCGGGGAGCTGTGTGCTCGAGCTAGGAACGCCCACCAGCGAGATTTCCTGCCCGAACAGCAAGTATACATTTTAACAAATGGCTTATTTTAATTGGGAAAATTTAAAAAAACCGCCTATTTTTAATAATTGCCTCGCCAAAATTTTAACAATGGCACGACGCAAGTGCACATTTTGACGTCGCACAAAATGTTTTTGTGCAATGACCACATTGTGGTGTCGTGCAAGGTATTTGTTTTTTTTTAAAAAAAATTACTATAAAGTTTACTAAAAAATTAACTTTACTCTCTTCAAATTCAATTTTTTTTACATAAAACCCATAATAATATATTTTTTCTAACAAAAACCCGACTCGAACTACAATAATAAATTTAAAAATACTTAATAAATATGCATACCATTCAATTTCTTAAGTGTTACACGTACAAAATAAATAAATTTAAAGCTACTTAATAAATATATATATACCATTGAACTTGATTGGATACGAATTGTACGAAACTAGTTTAAACGATCCAACCGTCAAACTTATTTGCATATATTTCGAGATAGCATACACCGAAAATCACAAAAAAAAAAACATTCAGAGATCAAGTAACGAGACAAAACTTTTCCACGATTATAAACGAAAAATCCTGAGTTAACGGTTATTTTAACTCCGATTTTGATGATTTTTACAACTACCCTTCTTGACCCTATATGCATACAATGAATGAACTTGATCTTCAATTTAAAATATTTACACTAGTGGATACCACAAAATCTTATGTTATACTTAATGAAAGTATAAATAAACTCTTAAGTGTTAGTGAATCTATTGTTTTTATGGGATACGCATTCTACGAAACTAATTTCAGCGATCGAACTGTCAAACTTGTTTGTATATGCTTCAAGATCAGATATGCCAAAAATCGCAAAAAACAAACATTCAAAGATCAAGTAACAGGACAAAACTTTTCGACAGTTATAAACGAAAAATCATGATTTAATAGTTATTTTAACTCCGATTTTAATTATTTTTTACATCAACACTACTTGACTCTATATGAATGCAATGAATGAACTTGATCTTCAATTTAAAATATTTACACTAGTGGATAACACAAAATCTTATGTTAATGAATTTATTGTTTAGATGGGATACACATTCTATGAAACTAATTTCAACAATCCAACCGTCAAACTTGTTTGTATATGCTTCGAGATCGCATACACCAAAAATCGCAACAAACAAACATTCAAAGATCAAGTAACGGGACAAAACTTTTCGACGGTTATAAACAAAAAATCACGATTTAACGGTTATTTTAACACCAATTTTGATAATTTTTTACAGCTACACTCCTTGACCTTATATGAATACAATGAATGAACTCGATCTTCAATTTAAAATATTTACAAATTCTTAAGTGTTAGTGAATCTATTGTTTTGATGGGATACACATTCTATGAAACTCGTTTCAACGATCCAACCATCAAACATGTTTGTATATAATTCGAGATCACATACGCCAAAAATCGCATAAAACAAATATTCAAAAATCAAGTAACATGACAAAACTTTTCGACGATTATAAAGGAAAAATCTCAATTTACCGGTTATTTTAACTCCAATTTTGATGATTTTTTACAACTACACACTCCTTGATCCTATATGAATACAATGAACTAATTAGATCATCAATTTAAAATATTTACACAAGTGGACCACAAAAAACCTTTGCACGACGTAGTTTGTTCGTCGTGCAAACATCCTTTGTGTGACGCATTGGTTGGTGCATCCCACAATAGTCTTTGCGTAACGCATTGGTTGCTACATCACGCAAAGTATGTTTGCGCAACGACCAAATTGTGACATCGCGCAAGTTATATTAAAAAAAAAACAATTATTATAAAATTTACTGAAAATGTGACTTTACTCCTTTCAAATGTACTTGTATTTTGGCTAGATATTGGTTTAAAAAAAATCTTATTGAAAGATGTTTTGGTTGTCTTCAAGTTTACAAAGGATTGAGATTGAAAATGAATCATGAATTACTTACTTGTATTAAAATTGGAAGACGATATTGATTTTCTACAAGCATTTAATAGGAGAAGCGTAGCCATCGTTTATCTACATAAATATGGCATATGCTCACAAAAATCAACCCACTCATTATTGAACTAAAACCTATTGTCTTAGCATTGAGAATTTAATAGCGAGGATAAGATTAGCTTTGAAGATCATGGCTTTTGTAGGTTTTCTATATAATTCTTAATTACTTGCAATGCATTGGATTTATCCTGAGTTCAACTGTATAGCACAAATCAAGGAAATTTTAAGGGGAAACCAACATTTCTTACAATTTCTTTGTAAATATATAAGTTAACCCCACTAAAGTATTCAAATGCTAATTCCAAATGAAGCCCAAACAAGTCTTCAACAATATCTACAATCTCACTCCCTTTCATAGGAAAAATTAATAAAGATTACTTCAAAATTCAATCTCACAAAACTCCATCATTACCAAAAAAAGGGCATATTAAGTAGGCAAAGGTACATCCCATATGCAATATGAAGAAAATACCTTCAAATTCGTTCTTCAATGATATTTGTATACAAAAATCCTGTACAAAACAAATTTAGTAGTTTTAGTTTAAATTCTCAATTCAAAGCTACATATACAAAATCAAACCGCTTACCAGATAGGAATAGATTGAGAAAGGGAGATGATTGGAGAAGTGTTTTAAGAGAGATGGGGGAAGGAGGTAGTTGCTGCAACTGGTTTGCAGTTTCTTTCTCCCAAATTGATGAAGTGATGGAAAAAAAATTCGTTGACTTTGCGCGACGAAGACTGGCGTCGTCCAAAGCTGTTTTGCGCAACGCCAGTGTTCGTCGCATAAAACATCTTTGCGCGACGGAGGTGCACCTACCTTGCACAATGTTGGGAAAACAAGGGTAAACATTCTTGGTTTGGCGCCAAACTCTTGTGCGACGCACAACAGGCATCGCGCAATGTTCCGTTGCGCAAAGGCCGTTTGCACGACTCCTCCTGTTTAGCGTCATGCAAACATACTTTGCGCGACGAAATTTGCTCCGTCGTGCAAGTTGTCATCACGCAAGCATGTTTTTGTACTAGTGCATTTTTGTGAGTGCTTTTTACAAAACGAATATATAGTAAATGAAATGTTTTGTGGAGCATTTTCGATTCAGTTATTAGGTCCAGGTTGAACTTCAATCTTATGCATATATAAACCCTTTTTTAGAGCAATGGAGGATATATATTTCATTCAACAGTCAGCACCAATACAGAACAAAATAGAGTCTGGGCAGGTCGTATGAACTAAAATTTGCTTATGCATGCTTTAATCCAAGAAAATTGACTCGAGGAAAAAATATTGTGAATGAATATCTTAAATTTGTGTGTATACCATCATATTTGTTGAATTTTCTCTCTTATCAATTGTTAAAAAGTTACTCCCGCAAAAAAATGTTTTGGCTCCATCCTTGCTCTTAGTTTAAGTTTTTGTGTTTCTTACAAATATATTTTCTTGAGTTGGCAGCGTTGTATTGGCGAGGAGTAACAAAAATCAAAAGTATAGATATTTAAAAGATAAAGAGAGGAGTCACATTCTTCTAGGCCCCATAGTCCAAGAAAATTATGACCATTTACCGTTCGATGTTAATTCATCAGTAGGTGATTGTGGAGACATAATTTAACCACATCCAATAGGAGAATGACATGTGAACTATATACTCGCTATGATGTTTTTACACTTGACGTCGTGAACAGACCACAAATCACTCCAAAGAACGTGGCACTTGTCTGCCCTCAACGAGGGACCGTGGCACCTTCCTGCCATGTGAGTATTAGGCCTTTGGGCCATCAACGTATCAAAGTTGATTCGAGCTCATGATATCTTGCCACCGGTCCAAACTCGACCCAATAATGACAGGAAGCGGGCACTTGGGAGTCTCCCCTTGGGTGTCCAGCGCGCATGTGTTCTTACTAACAGAGACGTTCAAAACTACTAGCTGCCAGGACTGGGGAGACTAGTCTGCTCCATAGTATGGCTTGCAACCTCCTTGCCTAGTTGGTTATTATGGTTATGTCTATGAATAGCCAAGTCAAAAAAAAAAAAAAAAAAAAAAAAAAAAAAAAAAGCCGATCATCGCCACTTAATACCCTTAACTCTCTCAAGATTATAGTTTCTCTCAAACTATCTTTCTAACTACTTAAGCATCATAGGTCTCTTGACGAACACCCTCCCTTTTCCTTGGTGTTCATCAATTAGGCTACCAGTGTTTGTTATTTTGCAGGTTTGATTTCATTAGTTTAGCCTTGTACAAAATTTGAATTGTCACAATGTAATTGTTTGTCTTTGAGGAGAAATTTTTCGTTGTTACCCGAACACAGATGATACACCACATGTTTTTATACAAGTGGTGAGAAATTTTATTTTTTAAATTATTAACTTTTTAACACACATATCCTATCATTTATATAGTGACATGTGGTGTACCACTCCGTGTTCCGATCACACTGAAAAAACTCTCGTGATTGACCTTCAGTTTCTCTTCTACTTGCTTGTATTTATAAGGCTTGTAAACGGATGAAGATTCTCTTTGGATTCTCTTTGCTTGTATTACATTTCGACTAGACCTTCTTGTTTTACCTTTTTGATTCTCTTTGGATTCCGTGTTAACTGGATATATTGTTTCTGTCGGGAATATGGGGTACGAAGCACCAGCTTTTCCCAGATTCCATTCCATTGTAGTATGTTATGCAACAGTTTATACTAATTTTTATTATTGTGATCTTGCAGTCGTGTTGATATTTGTCCCTTTTTGGCTAACAAACATTGGAATTCCTTGTATGGATGACTGAGAGACAGAGAACATAGTGAAATCCTTGGTCTCTGCATTATTGGTTTTAGTCATTAGCTGGTTAACCAAACGAAAGAAATGAGTGTATAAATTTATGGCTTATTTTCTTTTCAATTGTTTTCATCTGCACTGATTAATGCATTGAAATATTTTGATTTGACCTTTTTGCGTCAATGGATGCAGTCTAAATGTCATCCATCTAGAGGAAAAACAAAACAGAGAAAGGGAGATGCGGAACCAGATTATCTTTAAGCGGGCCTTCTATGAGAAATGGAAACTCAATTGTGAAACTAACAAAGCTCACAACAGAGCAAAGGAGAAGGTAGTAATTCTAAAACCCATCATCTTCTACCTCTTCCGTAATCCTGATTCTCTCACCCTCCCTCCCTCTCCCTTGCTCACTTGTACATGCATCTACGATCACCATCAGTGCTTCATAACTAAGTCGTGAATTTGAATTTCTGTGCGGCTGTACCTGGCCAACCAAGAGAAGTTCCACAAAGAAGCTGACAAACATTTCTGGAAAGCAATAGCTGAGCTGATTCCTCGCGAGGTTCCTAATATTGAGAAGAAGAGAGGGAAGAAAGATCCTGACAAGAAGCCCTCAATCGTTGTCATCCAGGGCCCAAAACCTGGTAAACCGACTGATCTTTCAAGGATGCGACAGATTTCCCTGAAGCTGAAACCGAACCCTCCACCACGCATGATGCCGCCACCAGCTGCCAAAGATGTCAAGGATGCAAAGGGAGGAAAAGATGGAAAGGATACAAAGGATGTAAAAGATGCAAAGGATGCCAAGGAAGGAGGAAAGGACGCAAAGGAAGCAGAGGAAGGAAAGGATGCGAAGAATGGAAAAACTAATTCACCAACCGCAGCTGGAGCTGCAGGTGCAAGCACACCTGTTTCACCTGCCAAAGACGTTGCTGCCAATGGTACTCCCGACTTATCAAAACCAGAGGCTCCTGCTCAACCAGAGGGTGAGCAACATTCGGAAACCAGGCCAGATCCTACCAAGTAGTGACCCTTCATATTTTTTTATTCTTTACATTATATTTGAGTCTGCTGCTTAGAAACTTCCTATGAAGAATAAACACAATCATTTGTTGATGATCCAGAGTCTGCAGCATGGAATGTAGAGATTTTCTTCCTAACTTGCTCGAGGGTTTTCTAGTC